ACTGATAACGCGCTCCTCCTCGAACCCAAAAAATTATTTTCAATATTTTTTCTCCATTTTTTCGCCTTCATTTCTTCAGGGGCCCGGAACTAGTTTTAATTATGCACGAGTCGTTAACGTGCATCGAGTTGAAACTTTTTCTGATTCGAGAGGAAGGGTAGNTATATATATATATATATATATATCCATTGATCGTTTAGATGTATCAGGCCATGCGAACCGAGGAGAGCTCGTCGTTCGCTTTACATACTATATAGGCTGTACATCTCGCGTGCTCGTGACGTTCGACTTGCACAACAATCCACGATTCTTTCGTGGCCACGATGAATTGCGCGCTTGCAAATCAACACGCGTCCTGACAATCGAGAAGAAGAACGAGGCTTGGCTGGATCGATTCTCTTCTTGGGGTTGTAGTATTTTCTGTGCACTTTTTTATTTTGGATATCGGATATTGGTGGTTTCTAATCGGTGGTTTCTTAAGAAAATACGCAATAAGAAATGTTTTATTTCGTGTTTGTATTATAACAGGGAGAAATCTTGTGGGAAAGAAGAGAGATAATTTTCAATATAAAGAGAAATATGTTGTATATTATAAGTTGATATTGCGTAAGTAACAGGGAAAGCAACGGCGAATTGAACGAATCTTTCCGCATATTTTATCGAAAATTATTATGAATACACGCGTCGAACGTTTATTTTTTTTTTTTTTTTTTTTAAATTATTACGATATGACGTTGGAAAAACGATGTACGATTCGATAAATACGGAATTACAATTTTGAAACTAAACGATAATCGGCTAATATATTCTTCTTTTATAAAGGTAGACAGACAGTTTAAACGAATTCTTCTAATTTAACCATTCTGGTAACAAAGAAATCCGGATACGTTTCGCAACGCAAATTCTCATAATCTCGAGTGTAGCCCGAAGCTAACGTTCAACGATTGAATTATTTCCGGGAAAAAGTCGTAGCAGAGTAAGCAAGTAAGTCAAGAGAGAGATTCGAGTCGTGCAATCATTCTTTTCTTCGACGATCTTCCGAAAAATTTGAAATTACGTTCCTTCCTTCCTTTTTTTTTTTTCTTTCATTCTTTCTTTTCGTGTTGACGCCAAACGATTAAATTAATAGCAGAAAGTCAGTTGTACCCCGACTATGGAATGGACTATGGTAATCATTTGTATCGTCAATTGCTCAACAAAGCAATTTGTCACTGTTATTTAGTTCTTTGCATCTCAAGTTACTCACAATAAGAGGATAATGTCGAAATGTTACACCTCGCGTGTCAACGTCATTTCATCAAAGAGAGGAAAAAAAAAAAGAAAGAAAGAAAGGAAGAATAGCAATAAGGGAATTAGTTTAAGCAAGAAGATGTCCGATTGCCTGACCGATATCGTCGCCTGCTGGTTAGCTTCAACAAATTAAACATGATATCACGAAGCAAGTGGATTAACACGTCTCTTCCCTGTAATTTTTTAACAGGTGTGCAAACGATATATTTACGTACGCTTGTATTGTATCAACGAATAAACGTGTAAATAAATGAGCGCGTTCGAATACAAATAATATGTATCAACATCGTGATAAGAATTAATCGTATATTATCGTAATATTATCGTGTTATTGAAGAAGAAAGAAAAACAAACAAAAATAAAAAATCCAAATAACTTTAATACTCTTCGCGAAATTTCAGAGAAATTCGCGATATTATCCTTCCACGGAAACCTATGATTAACCAACGAAAAAACACGTTTCCTCTAAGTGAGTCGCGAGAAGCATATCGCGTTACGACAAGTAACTCTTCGCTCAAAATCAATTAGTATCTCAAACCCGCTCCGCGAGGCACGGGCATCGCGACTCGTTATCTCATCCACGACTTTACTACTATTTTCCCATAAAACATTCAAGATACAAACAAAGATTAAACCAACAAAGTAACCAAACCTCGACCATCGTTTACGACCAAGCGAGATGCTACGAAACATCGGTTAAT